AAAAAAAAATTTTTATTATATGCAAACAAATATCTTTTTTAGTCTTTTTATAGTCGTCATCGCTTCTGAAGTTAAATTATAGCCAATCCTTGATCAAATCTACATCATAACTCTAAATATTAATACTAATATAAATATTAATATTAATAGCAATAATAATAATTGCAAGTAATATTTATTGAACATTATGAATTTTTAATTCTATCTTTAATAATTAAAATAAGTATAGAAAAGTACTGCGGTTAATATCATTACGGCGCAGTATTGTGAATCATTTGGAGTGAGCAATCATTGGTGCAATCAGTCTTCTCGTTTGCGTGTATCACTCATAAAATAGTTGAACAGGCAAAAAGCATCTATTTCTTAGGTAAAAAAGTTAATAAATTTTAAGAAACAATTCGCTAAAAATATTTTACAGAAAAATTATATTTTTAATTTAGTGCTTTATCAATTTTTCTAGTGATAAAAAATAAATAATTTAATAAAAAGTTGGCATTGACTGATCCTCCCTAAATACAAGCGATTATCTATTATTATTTATTATTATTATTATTATTATTTAAGCGATTAATAGAAAATCAATATTACATTTTTATGGCAACGAATTTGATATCTTTTCATTTTCATATTAAGTAGTACTTTTGTAAACACAAAACTGATTTGCATTTCTTAGTTAGGATATAAATTTTTTTAAATAAAAAAAATTAAAAAGTTAATTTAGTGCTTTATCAATTTTTCTAGTGATAAAAAATAAACTATTATTGTGATTATTTCAAAGCTGTTCATTACAGTTTTAAAAAAAGTATTTTGGTGGCATTAACGTGAGAGTCAAAAACAATTTCTATTTGAACTGAAACTAATTTTGATATCTTACAGAAACAGATTTTAATTAATTCAAATCTGTATACTGATTCCGTATGCCTTTACCTGAGGTGAGGATTAGTTGTGATAATAATAAAATGATTACGAATGATTATAACTGTGCAGCACTTAAAATAGAACAATGCAACATAAAACAATTACGAATCCCTTACTTAAATTTAATCCATCATTCCTTGGATTTGTTTACTTATGCAGTCTGTCAACTTATATTTTTTCAGTTACAAATATGCATCAATTGTCTTCAAACTTTTAACACATCGTAAAGAATACTTTAATGATTAAAGATAACAAACCTTTCACTTTCTCACTAATCTATTAATACAGTATATCCTTTACATTCTGTGCGCAAAATTTGCTTTTTTATTAAGAGTAATTGCAACAAACAGAGTTCAAATCTTTAATTTTCCATTTTAGCTTACCTTAAACACAGCAGTAACTATTTACGCTTTATTACAGTTTACTCTACAAATACGCAAAAATTATTTTATTACTTTGTATTATAATATTTACCTATATAAAAGCCTGCTGTCATTTACAATGAATAAACCACGCAAATATCGATATCCATGCCAACTAATTACTGAACAAAACGCAATCTCAAGCTGATTTTTTAATTTATACTCAAATTTAGAAGAGTAAAATCAGCAAAGTAAGTACAAATGCACATTCTGAGTCATCAAATTTTTGTTTTTAAACACACAACAGATATTAATGAAAACGCAAGTTCAATTATTTTTAAACACAACAACTGTTCGTTCGTTCGCCAACTGAACACTGTGATTTTGTTTTTGCTTCAACAACTAATGTTTGGTTTTCTGTATTAATTTTAAAAATACAAAAACTGTTTAATATTTAAATTTTATCAGCAAACACAATGTCTCAAAGCACGATTATGGCATAGAAATATCTCATATTATACTTATTAGTACTCTGAAAAATACAAAAGATTAAATTGATAAACGGTTATACAACAAATTATTTCTGCTACACTGTTATTTTGTATATTAACCTGTCATTAAATTGCGACACATCTTCATTTTAATTTAAATACTTTATATATTTAATAATTTTATGTATTTTGTAACATATAATAATCTGACTCATGCCTATATCCATTTAAATGGTTATAGCTCAACTTTAATTGGTTCATTTGTAGTGATTTAATCCCATGTAAATAAATTTAGCAAACGAACTTCTTAGTAAAAGTTTATAATAATGTAAGCAAAAATCATGTTAACAATGCTGGAATAAAAACAAGTTCATGATTAATCTTACCAAGTTTAAAAAAATTAAAATAGATAAATTGAAAGGACAGAATCAGCAAAGTAAACAATACTAATACCCTACTTCTTCGGAATTATTAATAATAAAAACAGTAGTAATTAAAAAATCTCAAATGAACTATCTAACAAAAAGAGTAGATAGAAAAATTTCCCAGAACACATCATCAATTACTTGTTGCTTTTCGATCATTACAACAAAAACAAATGAAATGACAAACCTATTCCTATTTGCCCAACTGTTGTCTTTTTTTATTAAGAAACAGAATAAAATAAATATCCAGTAAAAGTAATTATTACTTAACGAGTATTCAGTGAATAACTATAGGTAATTACGTCTTTATTACTGTTATGAATCTATGATTTGTTATAATTAATGACCCCACACTAAACTTCAGAATCTACCAAAGTATACTAATGCGGTCAACCATCATGAGTCACTTTTCGTACCCACAGTTGGAAAAAACTTGTTTTGGGACTGTAGAGAGGTCTTTAAATCAAATCCTTTTCAAATTAAAGTTCACTTCTTACTCCCCAAAAAGATTTTGTTCATCTAAAATTTTCCAAATTCACTATGATTATTTTCTGGAGCAGAAGAGCAATCCTTAACACTTGAAGTTACAGTGCAAAAACGAATGTGAGCAGAAACCACAGCTAATGCAAAAAGAATGTCAGCTCTTCATTAATAAACGAGTACGGTAGCAGAGATTTTTTTCTGAGCTTCAGAAATGTACAAATTTTGCAAAAGTACATTTATTATGTTCTTCATAGTAGTTTCAACAATAATTAAACAATTTTTCAATTTCTTTTTTGCTACTACAAAAAATGTACAAAATGAAACCAACTTTTTAAAAAAACCTCAGTTATATATGAAAACAACGAAAAAGCCATTTCGTTATTTCAAATATAAAAACTTGATAAGTGAAATAAGTAGATTATTACAAAAAATGAGGAATTAAGGGATAAGCCAAAAAACAATGGATGTAAGGGATAAGCCAAAAAACG